CCCAAAACAAAAAACCGGGCTTCGGGGAGAAGCAGAATTTGTTTTTAGAAAGATGTGGCTAGAATGTTAGCGAGTCCCGTGATAGCGCTCTCTCTGCCTCTTTCAACCCCAGCCATTAGTGTGCTGGACTCTGCAGACATAGAAGTCACAGACAGTCGCCTGCCTCGTGCCATTGTCGTGGAGCTCCAGGTACAGAACAACTTTGTTGGATTTGATAGGGCTTGCCTTGGGGCTGGCAATATAAATACATTAGTGTCCTTACTCCAGCACTGCAGGTCAGTGACTCTGGGTAGGAGTACTACGCCACCTCAAGTGACTCTGGATGAGGCAAGCTGTGCTTGGAAGCCATCCTGGGCCTCTGGTTGGTTCTCTGTGGAACTGCTCCTGCAGGCTTTGCCCTCATTTTAAATGGGGGCCAAGATGGAGCAAGGGATGCTCCCCTGGCAGTGTGTGGGCTGCTGAAAGATGGGCCTGCGCAATGCTATGGTCATTTGCAGTTTAGCCCTCGGGCATCCTCCATTCTTAAAGGGGTGCTCACCATATGCCTTTCCTACACCACTGCCTCTTGGTATTGCAGGTCGGTGACCTCGTGCTCCACATCAATAGAGAGTCAATGCAGGGCCTTACCCCTGCCCAGGTCCTAGAGCGGATCCGCGCTGGAGGTCCTAGGCTCTGCCTTGGGCTCAGGCGGCCTCCCCGCAGCCCTGAGGGGCTGAGAGGGCCCCAGAAACGAGGTGCTGGGTTTTTCAGGGGAGAGAATCAGGGATCTGTGAGAGGAAGGAGAGGCTCACAGAACAGAGGCTGGGCCCTGGGTGGAAAGGCTTTGGTGGTCTCAGTGGGAGAGGGTTGCAATTTAGTGTCTGGGTTGGATTAACATATTCTCAAAGGTGGAGGCAGGTAGGGGACCCCTTCTCAGAATAGGAATTTCAGAAGGGAGGTTTTTGAAAGTATGAGGAGAATCAAGGACAGAAGGGGTCTGGGGTAAAATCAAGTGTTCAGAGGGGTCTTAGTCCTTGGAGAGGCAAGCAGAATGGATCTCAACTAGGACAGAATCTAGTGGATAGAGGGTCTGGTTCTGAGAGACACAGGATCTACAAGTGAAAGGGTTGGGAGTCAAGGGAGGTGAGGTGAGGGGTCAGGCAGAGGTCCTAGACAGGAGTGGTTCATAGTCCCAAAACCAAGATGGCACTTTGATTTCCTGTGGCAGTTGTGGGAAATAATTCCTGAGAGGCATGGTAGAGGAGGGGAGGGCTATAGAGAAAGAGGTGACACGCTGGGGATTTAGCTCAATGGTTCTCCCGCCTGCCTTGCAAGCACAAGGACCGGAGTTCAATCCCCGTTACCA